TGTTAATTAAATGTGTTATGACCACCGGTTCTCTCCTATACTGCACACTGAGGGTGCATCTACACTACACCAATACTGGAGGCTGTTATCCCCGAAAAACAATACTAGCATCCACACAGCAATTGCGTTATTTTGAAAGAAAATTAGCTGTTATTCCTCCTGGAATGAGGTTTAACAGCTAATTCGATTTAGGGCTTTAATTCGGAATCCTATTTCACTGCCGCGTGTAGACGCAGGCAGTTACTTCCGGCTAGTCAATTTCTAAAATGATGACCAGCCGAGAACATGCTAATGAAGTGTGGGATATTTAAATCCTGCGTTTCATTTGCAATTTCGGTCACCCTCATTAGCCTTCCTAGATCGAACTAGGGGGCTAGTATAGACATACCCAAAGATAGCTTCTGGAATAGTTTTTTTCAAAATAGAGCATCCACACTACAGGGAAGCCTCCAAATTAGTCCAAGACAGGCTCCCCTAGTGTGGACACTCTATCTTGATTTAGAGCCAAAGGATACACTGGGGAGGAATAAATTAGAATGGCCCTGTTGAGGAGCTATTTTGACATAGTAGTAGTGGAGCATCCACACACGCCCTCTTTCGAAAGAGCTTTTTCAGAAGAGAAATTATTCCTCATGGAATGAAGTTTTCCAATGTCAGAAAAAGCCCTTAGTTATTTCCATTTTCTTTCAAAATAATGCAGTTGCTGTGTGAATGCTAGTATTGTTTTTTCCGGCATAACGGCTCTTATTCTGAAGTAATGGTGCAGTGTAGACACACCTTATGGTATTCCTCCCCAGTGCATCCTTGGGCTCTAAATTGAGAGAGCTCATCCTCATTAGGGGAGCCTGTCTTGGACTAATTTGAAGGCTTCCTTGTAGTGTGGACACTCTAATTTGAAATAAGCTATTCTGAAAAATATCTTCCGGAATAGCTTTTTCCTTTTTCCCATACCCTGAAACACTCTTTTCCATTCTGGATATACTTAGCCAGTTTCTATGTAAGTTTAATATATGTGAATAATGTCATCAATGGAAAAATGAACAACTAGAGAGAGTTGTGACTTATACTTGAGAAGGACGATGAATACCACCCATTGTCTGACTGCTCCAGCAAAAATATTAGTCTGGCTTCAAAGCTGCACTAGTTCCCAGAACACTACAGATCTGGTTTGTTTGGCAAGCTGACTTATTCAGAGAGAAGGTCTGGGCTGCCATGCAACAGATGTGACAAGATATGATTTTTTTTCTATTTTTTGGGGGGAGGGGGTTATCCAGTAATTTTGATTCTTTATTATTTCATATACAATTGAGATTTTCATGTGAAAGTGTAAGAAGAGGAATAAACTTTACTTGTCAAAGGAAAGTGATTCATCATGTTCGCTACTTCAGGGATGTCATCTGACATAGAGCAATTAGGTTTGCAATCCACCCATAAAAGGGGCACGAACTTGATCTGGCTCCCCCCATCTTGACATGTTGATAAGGTTGCACTGGAAGAATCTGGGATCACCAGTTTTGAAGAGGTAAGCAAGGGCAGCTTTCCCTGCATTCCTTTTATGCTGACAAAATAACTTCCCTGAATTCCCCAATTTGGGCCCTCATCATGGGTCAGTCACTCAGCAGCCCTGGTTTAGCCCATAGAGACATGCCTAGGAAAACATAAGGGAATCATGAGTTTATATTACTGACTGTGCCATGGGGAACAATCTTTCAACAGCTTGGATATGGCTTAGTATCAGATATAAGAATAGAAAGGCTGTGAGTTGATAGTCTGTGCAATTTGTAGTTGAAAGACTGCTAACAAGGAGACCAGGGCCAACAGTTGTGATGGTAAATTTGCAAGGTGGACACCAGTCCACTAAGAATTGCACTAAGACCACCACATTTCAAATCTACCATCACAAATGTTGACCCTAACCTCCTGGTCAGCAGTCACTTCAGAGAAGTGAATCAGATTGCAGAATGAACTGCCCTCGCAGCCTTGGAAATAGTCCAATAAGACCGGGGCTCTCATACCAACACTGAACCCAATCCATAGTCTGTTCAAATTGATAGGCATTATTCCACTGAGCTTTGCACCAGGCCCATTGTCAGGATGGTGCGGGGAAAATCTTAGTGCTGTTCCATAGGCTGCGTCTCTCCTGTGGAGAGGGCTTCAGTCTCCAGGGATGTTCTTCTGACACTTTTCAGATTAATAATAAGTTCATATTGGGAGAACATTCCACTCTGGGTATCAGCAGTTTTGGAAGATGACATGAAATGATTGTTCACTAAATAAATGATAAGGCTGCTGCCAGGAACTCACTTATGTAACTTAGTGCAGGACTGATAAATACACAATTAAGAACTGAGGGCGGTAGCCTAGCCTTGATTGGTTATTCAAACTAGGGTCTTTGAAAAGAAACAAACCAAGAGGAGAGAGAACTGTTTAAACCTCTGTTATAAACTCCTGGCAAACAAATGCCTGACAAAGGATAGGCTGTGTGAAATTTACTGTACTTTCCTACTGAACAATGGCATGTGTGTAATGTCTGCTCATCTAACTTTTAGACATTGCAGATATATCAGATATATATTTAGAAATTAGCACTGTAATTCAATGGGTCCCAAATCTGCTCTTAGCTATCCCACTGTAAGCCTAAAATACTTCCACTGTGTTCTACCACTGGAATTTGGCCTGTGTTAGTTTGCATTTCATTTTTAAGGAAAATAGACATCTGTTACAGAATTGTCAGCTATTTGGTAAGCAATATCCCCACATTTCTGCTTCTCCTTTGTATATAACCTTTGTTTTCTTTGTGTTTTATATTTTTGTTTTTAAGAAATCAGTAGATCACTCTTTTAGAGGGACATATTTTCCTTCCATTTCTCTTCTGAGAGTAAACACGGTTCTGTACTCCATCAATCTGAATACAAATGTGGATTGACAAATAGGAAAGTTTGTTGTCCTAAACTGACATTCAATGGTTTTTCTGTCTCTCTGAAATAAATAAACAAGTATAATAAAGGCCTCCAATGTGCTAAGAGATGCATTTGTTTGCTTTCCAGGATCAGTGGTTTTGGCGTGTTAGAAACAACAGGGTGATGGATGGATACCCCATGCAGATTACTTACTTCTGGAGGGGTTTGCCTCCAAGTATCGATGCTGTCTATGAAAACAGCGAAGGGAATTTTGTTTTCTTTAAAGGTAAGAAAAGCGAAAAATTTAGGTGACATTTACAGGCCTGCCGACACCGCATCAAAACATTTAAAAACTTTATTTTTTCAATGAAATAATATCTCATTTATTTTTAGTAGTGACTTGGTTTACCCATTGCAATTTCAGAATTTAGAGAATAGCAAATAAGTGAAAAGATTAAAAAAACAAGCACCTAGCATTCTTTGCACACTGGCCAAATATGGTTATTATGGATAATGATTCATTATAGTAATTTGTGATATATTTTGTAAGTGATGAAGTCTTAGTAATAGAAGACCACACAGCAATGATCTACTATATGTCTTTGATGACATTTTTGTGCATGAACTATACATTGTCTGGATGAAGGTAATATGAATGAGTAAGATTATGTATATTTTTCTAGTTCTCCTTCCTCATCTCTTATTACTAGGGAATTTACATATTTCTAAGTGGCATCTGTTCCCGCTGGATATATTTTATTATGTGTCATCTGTGCCACAGTGTAATTATTTGGTATAGAAATTATGATGTTGCAAATTTGAGTTTGGAACTGAATTATTAACAGATACTCCTCTTTCATGCAAATGTCCCTAATAATTTTTTAAAGAGGAATAAACCCCAGAAAATAATGGTATATGGATTGACTTGTTGCTGAGCAGTTTGTTATTTAAAAAAAATTTTACTCCAGGCATCAGCTGTTCTTTAGAATTAAAGTTCTTAAATATGCATCTAATTTAGATTTAATTTGAAAATTATGTTAGATAAATAATAATTTATCATTGGAACCTGTTCATTTGGAATGAAACCAAAAGGTAATTACTAATAAGGTAAGAATTGTGAAAACAAAGGAGAATGTGATTTGAGAATGAAGAATCAAGTTGTGAAACTATCAGAAGCTAACTTTATGGACTGTAACTATATCGACTGTAAGAATCAAGTTTTGAAGCTAACTATATGGACTGTAGCTGCCTTTGTTCTTGTTCATATAATTATGCCTACAGGAAAGGCAGAAGAAAAATTCAGATATATTTCCTGCCATTTTTCAAATTATGAACAAGGTTGTTAAGTCAAAAATGGACCCACGATTATAGTAGTATCACTATGGGGTACAAGAAGCAGGTCACCTCTGTATTGCAAAAGGTTAACTGTTTATCTGAGTGCAGAAATATTACACAACCGTTTAATACAGGAAATGAAGATGAAAAATGTGTTCATTTTTGTGCACTTAATAGAAAAAAACTTGCACCTTGTTTGAGACTTAAAAGCTATAGGTCTTTGTTTGTACTGTATTTCCTCTATGATAGCCACACAACACATGCCTTTTGTGTCTGCTATGTTAAAGTACAGCGTCAACTCATGAAATGTGTGCCATATGCTAAACTGAATTTTATTTCCCCCTTTAACTTTCTCAGTAAGACTATGCTTCTCACTTATGATCAATGCTCCAAACCTTTATGTAACATTTGGCATTTTCTAATATAAAGGTTGTATTGTACCACAGAAAATATGTCTTGTATCCCTCTACTCCCATCCTTCCTAACAACAACGCTTGTAGGAAGGTGTTTTGGCTGAACCAAACAGTGAGCAATGATCTGTAACTCACTGGCAGTATATAAGCCCCAGCCTACACAATTCTTCTTGGTTATCTGTCTTCTGCATGCTGGAAGAGTAGAGCAGCAGCTGCCTCAGTATTCTCCCCCTGTGCTCCCATTCATTCTGCCTTATTTGGTCTTTTCCTGTTCTAATACAAGAAAAGATAAAAAAAACACAGAAGTAAGGATAAAGGGAAAGGGAGAAAAAAGCAGCACAAAGGAGACATCAGCTCTCCTGTGACTGCTCTCTCCAGGGACCTAGCTACACAGAGAATAAAGCAGAAAATGAGAGATTTACTTCCTATAGCTAGTTCCATCCAGTAAGCAAGGAATCAGGGAGGAATCAACCAATGTGCTACATATCAGTTCCTCAACTCCTCCTCTCTTCACCTTTCAATTTGGCCACGTTGTTGTAGGGTGTTGGTTCTAATCCAGGTCCCTTGTGAAGTATTTTCTATATAGGTTTTTATAGTAAGGAAGTGGGAAAAGCCCTATTTAACTGCAAATTAAACTGAAAATTGAGATGCAAATCAAGAAGGTTCAGAGAAAATGGACCCCGATAATGCTTTCCCCCCAACAGTCACTTTTTAGGGATGCTTGAAAGCAAAAGCACTTTTCCCTCATAATGTCCCCATTCTGTCTATTGCATTCACGAGATGATGTTTCTCTCTGCATGTGGCCTGAATTTCAGTGCAGACTCAGTCCTTCCTCAGTATTCCTCAGCTCCTGGACACCAGGATGCCTGCAAAGGACAAGGCTAGCAACCCTGTACAACAAGAACAACTTCCATAAGACTCTTGTTTCCCTTTCCCTGGAAACCTCAAAATGTCAGTACTCTTCATCACAGGCATCAGTTGTGAGGAATAAGAGCCAGCCATTTTAGATACTTGGTTATGTCCCATGCCACAGAAACACACAGTTGTTGTTGTTTTTTTCCTGAAGAACTTAGATTGTATGTTTCTAGTCAGTGAGTCGATGCCATGGTCTTGTTTGCCTTTTCATCCTGCTTCACATTAGTGTGTGTAGAGCAGAGGCCAGAAGGTAGGTTTCTCATTCTCCAAGGCTAATTTTGCTATATTAGTCATCTTGCAAATAGCCCACCTCCCCTTTGTTCTTAAAATCCCCCACAAAGATCTTGTTATCCTATCTTGTGCTGGATATAGAGGGTCTGGTGCATTCTTGTCACATCTCCTCAGTTGTCATCTTAGTTCTTTGAGTTATCCAGATCCACAGAGTTTTCCATGCCCAGCCAGTGTCTTTTGTGGCTCTGGAACTGAAGTGTAGAAGTCCATGCAAAGATCATCCTGTGAGATCTCTCTAAATAGAGGATCAAGATAAAGCATCAATAGACTATATAGAGTTCTCTAAGAACCCTCTTCTCTATGTTCTCTCTTCTGTATTGTAGTAATCATTCCCTTTTCACTGCGGTCCAAGTTGTGTATAGAAATTGCCAGAACCATTCTTCTATTTAAACAGAATGATATTTACCTTCCTTCGTACTATCCCTCTGCTGATCTAGGCTTTTTTATTCTTCTTCGCTTGTCCAGGAAATGAACAGGATCATTCAGTAACTTATGGACTCTGGATACCAGAACAATTTGTGTAAAGAACAGATGCTGTTCCCTGCATTGTGTAAAGGACAGATGCACAGACCTAGGATAATATTTAATTCCTCTATTTATGATGCCTACAGAGCAGGCAGGCTTAATAATCCAGTGGCTGAGCAGGAAGCAGTATTTATAACTGTAAGGTACTTTGAGGAAGTCTCTGGTTACTTCTCCTGATGTCAGGAATACTCAGTCTCAATGTACACACTCAAATCTCTGCTTTGTGCTGGAGAAAGGGGAGAATATGTATTCATGCTCCCTTCAGACTATCTTCTGCTTCCTATAATCAGGCTTCACGAGGACCTCAAGGTGAATTTTCTATCTAAATTTCTCTCTTGACTTGCTTTGGAAGTTTTGTTATTAAAAGGAAGTAGGTGAACTAGGTCTTTTATACCATCTGTGATTGACAGACTTTTCTTTCATGTTTATGGATCTGTGGTGAAATAACACTGTCTGCAGGGGCTGTTGCCTATATGATGTGAGAAGAGAAGTTTCCGTCAAACACAGTTGTCAGTAAGTAATCATCATTTTTCCTAGCAAATTTGCACTGATTCAAGGTCAAGAGCTAGCAATATTCAGCTTAGGCCCAGTGACATCTTAAAGATCCAGCATCTTGCTAAGCCTCAAGGACAGAAAAGCCTGCTTTCTAATATTAGAAATCTGAAAACAGCCGAATTCCATCCCATTTATCAGTAATGTATTTGATTTGGTTTTGGCCCTCAATATTTAGGGGACAGCAGACCTGAAATTTGCAACATCTTGATTATTAGAAAACCTACTTAAGAGGTTGAGAGAGTCTTTTGAGAGGTTATTTTTATTTGTTAGTACCCAGTCATCTCTCCATCAACTATGCAAGAGGATTAATGGCACGAAAGCATTGTACTTTAAAGAAGGTGAAATATAAAAGAGTACCTAAATAAAAGTAGTTAAAAAACAAGCTTACATTTTCCAGCAGACCAGTGCTGTTAAATAGACCACATGCCAATGATCTGTAATGGTAGAATGGTAAGAAGGTGTTATTTGCATTCCTTTGGGACAGTCTTCATAATTTACAGCTTTACTATTCCACATGCATACTAATAAATCCTATTATCAATCCATATATTTTCTGTATTATCTGCCTGTAGAGACTACTGATTTTAGAGGCATATTTAATAAATTATGTCGGCTTGTAGACAATGTACTGCATTTGTGGAATCTAGTTTCCTTTTCTTTGCAGAGCGTTGCAACTTTTTTGTTTTTGATATGAACTAGTTTTATTTCCCTTCTTTTTACATTATATTCAATTATACAAGGAAAAGCATTTTTTTAAAAAGTAGCACACTTGGGCCATATCTACACTAGGAAACTATTTTGAAATTACTAAATTCGACTTAAGAACTCCCCATTTAACAAATTTGAACTAGCGTATTCTCGCTACAGAGAAGCATTGAAATTAATCCAAGGCAAACTCCATTAATGTGGACACACTGTCTTGGACTTACAGCCTCAGGAAACACTCTGGGGAGCTGTGGGAGGCCTTCCAGTGGCCACTAATTCGAATTAGTGGCACCAGAGCATCCACACTAATGTTATTTCAAAATTACTATTTCAGACTTAGCATTACTCCTTGTGAAAAGCAGGAATACAGAGTTTGAATTCCATGGCTCATTATTTCGAAATAATGGGCTTGGTAGTGGACGCACAGCTTATGAATTCAAACTTGGCAAAGTTATTTCAGAATAAGGTAGTGTAGACCAGGGCTTGGAGAACATTATTATAAAGCAATGCTTGCTGGTTTGGGGTACCTGAAGACACTCAGTATTCT